AATCATAAATTCATTTTATAGAATTAATTCTGTTGGTACAACACTAGGAATGGTTCTATACCAAAACTGTTCCGATGGGATAACAGAACAATTCAATATAGCAATCTCTTGTGCTAATCTATTGCCCTCTCTTTTAACATGTGTAATACTACTGCAACTATTAAAAAGAGATAACAGCTCACAAATCCCAACAACCACCACACCAAAGGGGAGACAGGCAGCTCTTTCCTCTGTAACTAGCTTCACAGCACTCCTCAGTCCCATTCAAAGATAGTATTTTTGCATTGCATCTCCTTACCAAGTAATGAGTATTGGTGAACACTATGATTTAGTAATATAGATTTAGAAACAAGTATTGGCAAACATAATGATTTAATATATATGTTCTGAAAGAGGATAAAGAATGATTCTGTCCATACCAATTCATCGAAGATAAGATAGCAAGAAAGCAAGATAAATCATAAATCTTATCTCATCTTCTCCTGACAAAGCAGCTTCTGGCAGAAGGCAGAAACATGAGCCAGTTGTAAGCATTCCCTGATAACCTTGGCAATCACATTGCAGATATGATCATTGATAATATCTTTTCTGAAGTGCAGAGGTTTGTTCTTCTAATATGGTTCTTGCGCTAGGATTCTGCTATGTTGTAACTAGAGCAGCTTTGCTCTTCCTTCATTTCTTTAATATTAATAAGATGTTTGTTTTTCCATAAATCCTAAAAGCACCTGAAAATAGCCAAAAGTTCCTCATTGTGATTAAAGCTTTTGAATCAGACAACATATTATGGAGTTTGATATTTTTTGAGATACCAAAGTCATATCCAGTGAAAAGTCATTCAAATATATCTAACTACTAATTTTGGTACAGGAAAGCTACAAGCCTACAAACCAGCTAATTTTGATAACATTGATTTTGCAACAAGAGTAGTGGAGCACTCAACAGATTCAGTCAAGGAATGTTTAAGAGACATTGAGACTTCAACAATGGAGCAGATTTATTGACCAATCATAACAAGAAGTTAACAAATTTTCGAGATTAGCAAAAGCTTTAAGCCAATTCCCTAAAGCAATAAATAAGATATCAACTGAATCCTGGGTTAAGAGAACAATAGGATTTGAGATGTTTCGAAATTAGAAAAACAACGATTTCGTCCATACCAATTTATAGGGGATAAAGACGCTGGTGGTAAGGTCGCAATCCCACGAGGAAGCTAGATAAATCTCTTCTTACCTTTCTCCTCTGGAAAGTAACTTCTAGCACAAAGTGGAAACATGAACCGGGTGCAAGCATTCCAAGACAATCCTTGTAATTACACTGCAGATACTGTTATTGATACCTCATTTCGTAACAGAAGTAGAAACATAAGTCCAAATATGTTGGGAAGATAGCATAGGGGAATCAGAAACAACAATAAACCCTCACCTATCAATCTGAAACTGTTAGGAGTGAACTAAATTGAGCTCAAATAAAAATATGGCAGCAACTACACATGCAAAATAACAAAGATGGCAAAGGCAAAAACATTCACACAAGAGACACATGGAAAACTATCACAAGAAGGATAAAAACCATGAGATGCCTAGCCTACTAAAAAAACTCCATTATATTTAAAGAGAGTACATAGAATCCTCTTTTAAAAGGTACAAAAACTACACCAAAGAGTAATAATAAGCCAAAAAAAAAAAAACAAAAAACAAAAAATGAATTATAAAGAGAGAGCAATCATTAAAAAAAGCTATTGTTTTAAGTATAAAATCAAATGATATAAAACTTCAAAGGCAAAACTTTAAGTGGAAAACTTACTATTTAAAATGTAAATCAGTATCTTATAAACATCTAGATAGAATTTTAGCTCAATCTAACGGTGAATTTTTATAAATTAAACAAAATAACAAAACTATATATTGCATTAAAATTGTTAAAAAATTCCCTTGTTTTCCCTTTTAACGTTTATTAAGGCTACCAAAAACTATGTACTTTTTTTTGTTTATAATAACTATCAACTTTTATCTTAATTTGACTATTAATCACAATTGATAATTGATAAAATAATTAATATTTATTATTTAATAAATTAAAATTAATTTATAAATAAATATTTTTAAATATTATAACTAATTATTTAATAAAAAATTATAAACTAAAAAATTATAGTTAAATTGATGGTTTAAACAAAGGTTATGGCCGAAATAACCTAAGCCAATTTCTCCCCCCTTAATTTTTCAGTCGGCACCACTCTCACACGTGCTGTCCATGCACTCTCAACATCATCCCAAAAACAGGCCCCTTTTATGTGTTTAATAAGCTGTTGAATAATGGGTTAAAATGTAAGCTTACTTCACCAAACTTTGACCATATCTCCATATAGGAGGGATAGGTCTAACCCAACAAAATACAGCAGGCCTTTGATGGAGCTTGCAGTAAGATCTCTTCTAGAATCAAGAACTTGAGATTTGGGATTTGAGCAGAGAACCTGGCTCCGCCACTCAAGTTTTTTCATTCCCATTAGAAAGCTGAGAAATTAGTAGTGAAGCAATCTCATATGAACAATCTGTTGCGTTAGAATCAATGTTCGCACTCAATTTAGCCGCTATTTCTTGAATTTCCGGAGTTTTCCTTTTATCACTTCCTTGAAATCATCCACATTTTCTTTTACTTTGATTATCACTTGTATCAGCAAACACTCTTAACCCCAATTCAACCAACAATAATTGGTGCCACAAAGTTAGCAGATCATTAGAACTGACATCATCCTTAAGCCCATCGGGCAATGCCCCAAACTCCTCACCTAGTCTATCACTGAAGCCCAAATCCAACCGAAAAATCTACTTATAGTTTGACTCAGACACTGCATCAGGCAGGTTCTGTGCGGCTTTCTTGACCCAAAAATCAATCTCTAGAAGCGGAAAAGGTAACAGGCCACATGGCATCTTCGTCGGCAGGGAGGCTGAGCCTCGAAGCATCCTACGTGCCACGTGCGATCAATCCAGAAATAAGGTCTCCGATTTCTCTTTTTGTTTATTTATTTAAAATAGACCATCAAATTGAACTTTCAATAAAAAAAAAAAAAAAAAAAAAGATGAAAAGACAAAATGAAAGTCTAAAATTAAGGGAAAATAGTTTTCTTTATTATTAATTTAATCAATAGTTAATGAGTTTTATTAATTTTTTTTTTTTAAATTTTGATTACATAATAAGAAGTAATTATTTTTTATCTTTTATCCCATCTCACCTGTATAAAATGAAACTCAAATTTAAAAATTTTTACTTAAAACGAAAAAAATAACTATTAAATTATATAAATCGTTGACATGAGTTTTATTAATTTAAATTTAAATTTTTTAAATTTCTTTTCTGTTTCTTTTG